GGGGTAAGAGATCAACCAAAGGACTTGTATGCATGCATATAAGCATAACCAATGGACATAAGACACTGGGGGATGGGGGAGGCTAGGGGACTGTCTTGGGCGGGGGGAAAAAATGGACACATATGTAATATCCTTTGTAATAAATAATAATAATAATAAAAAAAGAAATGAACACTTGAAACTTATAAAATCTTAGTAACCAACTAGAGACCCAGTGTACGGATTCATGCACCGGTGGAGTGCCTCTGCCTGACCTGTGGGGATTGGGCCAAAACCAGCTCTCTGACATCCTCCAAAGGGTCCCAGATTGCAAGAGGGCAGTCGTTGGGTGATGCACCTCAGAATTGGGCTCCCTCCTCTCTGGTTCCAGGTGCATCACCCGAGAACTATAGCTGCCAAGTCACTACAGCTCAGAAGCTTCTGCATTGAGCATCTGCCCCCTAGTGGTCAATGCCTGTCATAGCTACTGGTTGGAGTGTCTGCCCCCTGGTGGTCAGTGCACGTCATAGCTACCAGCCAGTCAGCCGGTCTGCAGGTCACTTAGACTTTTATATATATAGATGTCACCCCAATACATTTAACTAAAAAAGAAAATTAAGTAAAATCTCAGACATTTCATGTAGCAGAATTTTCAATGACATATCTCTTAGGACAAGGGAAAAAATAAACAAATGAGACTACATCAAACTAAAAAGCTTCTGCACAACAAAATAAACTATCACCAAAATGAAAAGGGAATCCACAGTATGAGAGAACATATTTGCCAATGATAAATCTGATAAGGGGTTAATTTCCAAAATATGTAAAGAAATCATACAACTCAAAAAAGGAATACAAACAATACAATTAAAAAATGGGCAAGGAACTTGAATAGACACTTCTCCAATGAGGACATACAGGTAGCCAGCAGACACATGAAAAATTGCTCAATGTCACTAATCATCCCAGAGACGCAAATTAAAATGGCAATGAAGTATCATCTCACACCTGCAAACTCCCATTTGACCCAGCCATCCCATTTCTGGGAATATATCTTAAGAATCCCGAAACAGCAATCAGAAAAATATATGCACCCCTATATTCACAACAGCATTATTTACAATAACTAAGATCTGGAACCAGCCCAAGTGCCCATTAGAAGATGAGTGGATAAAAAAGCTGTGGTACATTTACACCATGGAATACTATGCTGCTGTAAAATAGAGGAATCTCATACCCTTTGCAACAGCATGGATGGAGCTAGAGACCATTATAGTGAAACTAGAGGCCCAATGCATGAAATTCATGCAAGGGGCTTGGCCCTCACAGCCGCAGTGGCTTGCCTCAGCCCTCGCAGCCCAGCTTCATCCAGAAGGTCATCCAAAAGGATGTCTGGAAGATCATTTGGCTGTCTGGTCTAATTAGCATATTACACTTTTATTATTATAGATACGTGAAATAAGCCAGAGAAAGACAAATACCACATATGATCTCACTTATATGTGGAATCTAATGAACAAAATAAACTGATGAAAAAAAATAGTAACAGAAGCATGGATACATGGAACACACTGACAGCTGTAAGAGGAGAAGGGGGTTGGAAAATGGGAAGAGATTAACCAAAGAACTTGTATGCATACCTGCATAGCACATGGACACAGACAGTAGTGTGATGAAGGCCTGGCTGGCGGAGGGAAGTGGGGAAATAGGGGACATCTGCAATACTGTCAACAATAAAAGAGAAGAAGAGCTCAGAGCGGAAGGTAAAGGCCAGTTTATTAAGTGCTTTCTAGATAAAGGAAGGATATTAGAATTTATTGCAGGTATGATTGGAGGCCATTAATGGATTTTAAGCAGCTTCTGGTTATTTATTTTGCCTGGCGACCTAAAGGTGTCCCCCATGCCTTATGTACTTTAGTGGTTAGCCAAGGATTTGGACAGAGTTTGTACACAGAGTTTGAGACATACCCTCTCAGTGGTTATCTTGCTTCCAGGGTCTCCCCCTGAATTTTCATCTCTTTGGCCAGCCTTAAGCTATCTCCTCTGAGATATTATGCCAATAAGATTTCTGTCAAACAATCATCACCCAGAACAGTTCTGTTATCGGTGATTTAGTGGAAGACTCCATTTTGTTTCTGTCTGAATTTTTTAAACATGAGGTCTTCCTCATATGTGTATAGTTAGTATAATGGTTAGCTAGGATTTGGGGCAGAGTATACCTAGATTTAGGGTACCATTCCTACTATGGCTCTCTTCTAGGACTCTCACCCCTAAATTTTCAGATTATTTGCCACTTTGAGCCAGTAAGGCAGTGTTATCATAACATGTGAATTCGAGGTTTGGAGGAACACCTCTAAGAAAGAGAAGCCACAAATGTAATTTTAATCCATTGCTATTGCCATCTTTCAATGGTAAACTTTTCTCAAGTATTTGCCTGCTATTAGTCACTTTCCATTGCTTTAAAATAGTCTATCGTTCTATCTTTCTATTTATTTATTCAAATTTTATAGTTATAATAATTTAGTCATTATAACTAAATGATTTAGCATCCAAATGATTTAGTCTGCTGTTACCAAAACATAGAACATTTATTATTTTAGTTTGTGTTTATATTAACAGCAATTTTGAAAATTTTCATTTTTATTAGCCATTTTTATCCATTTCATGAATTTTCTGTTCATGTCATTTATCCATTTTTTATTTGTTTGTTCCTTTTTAAGTTATCTGTAAGAGTTCCTTATTTATTAAATATATTAAGATATTAATTCATCAAAACATTTTTACTTGAGGCTCAAATGAAATATGTTCTAAAATTTAAAGTTTTGTATTTGTGGTGATTATAATATTGGCCTTTCATGTTCATATGGGATCATTTAGTAGGAGCAGACAAGGTAAGGAATTTGTTCTTACTAGAGATGCCTCGGCATGGTGAAGGGAGCTCTTGCCTTTTTATAAGACAAGATCTTGTGGTTAACTTTTATTATTTCCCCCTGTACGCGCCCCTACCAGGTCCCAGACCAGGGAGGAGCCTGCAACCGAGGTATGTGCCCTTGACCTGAATCTAACCCAGGACTGTCTGGGCCACAGGCTGATGCTCTAACCACTGAGCAAAACCAGCTCAGTGTGGTTAGCTTTTATGATGTGCAGGGCAGTATTGGCAGTGACTTTCCTAAGCAAAATCTTGTCAGATATATTATCTCTTACTTATTGATCTCCATGGCATTATTTTCCAATCATAATCATTTGTTATACTCACCGTAACTAGTGTTAATAGGCTGCTGCATCTCTGCATCAGAGGAAATATTACTAGAACTCTACTCAAACATTGTTCTCTCTCTTTTTTGTCCCTAGGAGTACACCATTGACGTATTTTTTCGACAGACATGGCATGATGAAAGACTGAAATTTGATGGACCGATGAAGGTCCTTCCACTGAACAATCTTCTGGCTAGTAAAATCTGGACCCCTGACACCTTCTTTCACAATGGGAAGAAATCGGTGGCCCATAACATGACCACACCTAACAAGTTGCTCAGACTGATAGACAATGGAACCCTCCTCTACACAATGAGGTCAGAAAGTGATATCCCTTTCTAAAATATACTTGTGGGTATGACTAGGTTTTAAAGCAGCATGTTTTAAGCTATCCATTGAAAATTCTTTCAAGTTTACAGATTTTAAATGCACACATAGGTGTGTACTCTTAACACGTTTGCAGATATATACACTCATGGACATATATATACTAGTATAGATACACATATAAATTGAGAGTTGGCCATATGAACATTCTAAAAAACACAGATATATGTTCATGATGTATAAATGCTGCATACTCCAAGACACATGTGCACTAATATACATGCATATACATTATCAAGAACACTTAAATACACAGACTCACAGCCATATACATAGGCATGAACATTGTGACAGTCAGAATAGGCTATTTTTAACTGTAAAAACGAACTACTATGATGCAGGTTATGAGAGTCACATGAGCTAATGATGGATATTTTCTGAAACATACAATGTTTATATATATATATATATGCAAAATTACAGCAGCATATGTTTAATGCCACATGGTCTTGGAATGCTGAGGAGTTTGATATAAGTGAAATTTCTGAAGAACTTAAAACTATATCTTTTAAGCCAGCAGTCACCAACCTTTCAGACCTCATGGACCACTGGTTGGTGAATGCTGTTTTAAGCAATGTATAATGAATCATCAGAAACATAAAATTGTGATGGTTTTTGTGCTTAGGGGGATTGTGATGGTTGTTATGCTTTGGGAGTAGAAAAGTATGATATACAAGGTTAGGCAAAAGAAGCTTTACAGTTATTTGTATGGAAAATAACTACAAACTAAATCATTGTTTGTATCTATATATATAAAAGCCTAAGTGACCGAACGACCAAACAACCAGTCACTATGGTGCACACTGACCATCAGGAGACAGACGCTCAATGCAGAAGCTGCCCCCTGGTGGTCAGTGCACTCCCACAGCTAACCTCCAGCAGCCAGTCAACCTCCCCTTGGCTGGCCAACCTCCAAGGTCCCTCCCCCTGGCAGGCCAGCCCCATTGGCCCAGATCAGGGTGGCCGGCCAACCTCCCGTTGCCCCTCCCACTGCTGGACAACCTCCCATGGCTCCTCCCCATGGCCCCAATTGGCCCCGATTGCTGGCCTGGCCAACAGACCCCACCCATGCACGAATTCGTGCACCAGGCCTCTAGTCAATCTATATTTATAAAAGCCTAAGTGGCTGAACGACCAAACAAACGAATGACCAAACAACTGGTTGAGTGGTCGCTATGATGTGCACTGACCACCAAGGGGCAGAACTCAATGCAGGAGCTGCCCCCTGGTGGTTAGTACACTCCCACATCCAACCTCCTGCAGCCCCTCCCCCCAACCAGCTGAGCCCGATGGCCCCATCAACCCTGATCACTGGCCAGGCCGAGGGACCTCACCCATGCACAAATTCGTGCACCGGGGCTCTAGTAAATAATAATACAAGAATAACCTCCATATTTTTGTACTCTCAACTTTAAACCTACTTTTGCCTAACTCTATATCTTTTATTTATTTTTTAAAATCTTTATTGCTGAAAGTATTACACATGTTCCCCTTTTTCCCCCTTTGACATCTTCTAGCCTGCCCCCAACCCAGGCTCCCTTTGGATCCCACTCTTCTGCCTGCCAATTCTGGACTTCCTGTTAGGTACTTAGGTGCTAATCATTGTCAGGCACTGTCCTTTTGCTTTCTGAATCCTGCTGGAAGCTCCAAGCAATCCACAGTTTGTGTCTGTATCCACAGGCCTTGGCTGGAAGCAGGAGGGGCCAATCTGCTCTCTAATGTAGGTTTGTTAGCATCATGGGGCCCAGGGCTGGGTCAGCAACTTCCCTTGGTTCTCTGGGCTCCACCTCTGCCCGCCTTTGCCTGCTAGCCAGCTTTCAATCTTAATCATTCAATAGTCTGTTTCTGAAAGGGCTTTAGGTGGGGGAGGTGCTGTTTAGCTTTCAGGGAATATGGTGGGTGTGTTTCCCTGTCCCAGAGCTACTCTTCCATGAGTTGCCCAAAATAGAACTCTGCCCTTGGCTTGGCAGAGAGAATCATCTGGAAACAGAGTTTTTATCAGTTCTCCTGTGAGTGGAAAATAACAGTTTGGTTCCCAGGATATTGGGGCAGACCCCCTCTGCCTTTGTCCTGTCACTGAGGGCTTCTTGAGACTGTTCAAACCCATAAGCTTGGCCTCTGCTTTTGTTTTCTCTGAAAAGCTCAAAATGCAGGGTGTGGCATGCAGGGATCCTGCAGGTGGGGCAGGCTGTGTTGACTAGAGTGGGTCTTTTTTCTTTTCCCATCATGAAACTACTGGGAGCAGCTAGCTCCTTTCAGGAAAAATGGCTGTTTTGGTTTGGGGGCCTACAACCAAATGCCCCTGGCTGCTGTTTTGCCAAATCTCCCCATAATGCTTCCCACCGCAGTCTCCTTAGGTACCACAAGTCCGCACTTCCCTCCCTGCACAAAAGCCTCGGGTGTAGCTGCAAATGAAAACTCCTGGGTTCTGGGGGGATGGAGATGTGGAATTATAAAGAAGACTGAGGATGCTTATTGAGAAAGGCAGAAGATGAAGTTGAATAAAGGATTAGCCACCTGAAGATAGAGTTGGATGAATGGGAAGAAGATGACCAGTGGGCCCTTCATTTTAGTCTGAATTGGACAAGTTTAGGAAGATAGGAGTCTATGCAGAATGACCTTGTGCTTATTCTAAAGTACAGAATAGAGGAGGTACAGAAGTTTAGAAACATGATGAAGCCATTGGTTCCCTTACACAGTATATGCTTCACCTTGGACCCAGGACAATGGGTCCAGAGGGAGACCTAATTTCAAGACTGAAAATAAATGCTTGGCTCTATTTGTGACACCACGATTTATTCATCTGGTGACTTTTTATAAGATACAAATTACCTGTTTTCTCATTCAGGTAACAATGTAGTTGCTACCTTCTTGCAGACACATAAAAATCACGAATTGGATAAGGTCTGAAGAACACTTAGAATTTTTCAGAAAGTGTTTGTTACTCTACCACACTACTGTTATTATTTTTGATCCTCAGAAATTATATCTAGATTCCATGAGAAAACTAAAGAATGGTAGTTTGTTAGAAAAATCTTACCAAGGATTGCATGGCTGTGTAACTAGGGCAGTTGAGAATGAAGCTTTGTCTTGTCTCATCTTGAGACCTCAAGACAACCATAAAAATGCAGGCCAAAGCTCATTACCTGCTGCTTACTTCAGCAGCACACATACTAAAATTGGAATGATATAGAAAAATGAACAGAACCCAGATCAAAGTGATGCACATGTTTATGAATTTTCCATTTTATCAGATATGAATATATAGGGAACTGCATTTCTATTAATGACATTTTATTTATTGATGAAGCTATGGATACATATGTTCATTGCATTTTTCTTTATACCTATGGTATATGAATGTTGCATAATATATAACAGTAAAACAGTTCCAGTGATTATTTTAGTATGAGGTATAAGTACTCATTAAATTTAACTAGATTTTATCCCATTGACTTGAATCATTCATTCAACCCATTTATGAGTACTTATCATGTTTGTGGATTTGGGAATAAGTGCTGATCTATAGAGATAAATAAGACACATGTCATGCTTTTAATGACTTACAGCCCAATGGTTAAAGCAGATATGTGCAGAGATAGCTTCACAATAATGTAAAAGTCCTTAAACAGAGAGAGGTGCAAAATGTGTTAGAATTACAGTGCAAGAACACCCAACATCACGTGGCAGCATCAAGGGAAGTTGTAGGAAGGAGGCAATGCTTATTCTATATCTTGAATCTTGAAGAAAGTGTAGGTATAAGGTAAGGTACAGAAGGGTATTCTAGGCAGAGGAAATAGCATATACAAAGGCAGGTATTCATGAATTGACACAATTCATCATAAAACTAGGAATACAGTGATGAGCATGAATAGATGAGGTCTCTGCCCTCACTTATATTTTATTGGGGAAAACAAATAAATCATGACAGTAAAGTAGAATAAGTGCTATGATTGAGGAAGCACAGAGTAGTATGGGAGCATCTAGAAGGAACAATAAAGTGAGCCTATGGAGAATAGCCACAATGAATTCCAGAGGAACTCACTTTTAAACTGAGACTAAGAAGAAGTGAAGAGTTAAATTAGAGCAAAATATAGGAAAAAAAATGTTTCATAGAGAATAGGGTGGGGAGAGAGAGGGAGATAAAGAAGGAGGGAGGGAGGGAGGAAAGGAGGGAGGGAAGGAGAGAGAGAGAGAGAGAGAGAGAGAGAGAGAGAGAGAGAGAGAGAGATGAAGGCCAGAGGAATGAGGGAGGAGGTGGTAATAATACATTATAGAAACAAAAGGAAATTCAGTGTGACTGGACCACAGAGTAAAGTGTAGAGAAGTGGCCTGGGTTGAAGAAGGGGTGCTTATGAGCTATGTTGGCATAAAAGTTATAGAGACCCATTATTAAAAGAGTTTATTATAAAGGAGTGATACAAACAGATTTGCATTTTAGATAGATCACTCTGGGAGCAGTGTGGCAGGTAGGTTAGAGGAAAGCAAGGATGAAGATGAGGTGCTTAGTTTTATGAGCTGCAATACTCTAATAATAATATTAATAAAAATTACTGTGTACTAGAGAGCTACTATTGCCAGTCACTTTATTAAAACAACTCTGATCTTCACAAAAACTATTCAAAATAAGTATTATTTCTATTGAATTGATCCAAAAAGTAAAGCTTAAAATTAATAATGACTTATGCAAGATGATGCAGTTATTAAGCAAATTAAGGACTATCTGGCTAAAAACTGCTTTTTCCACTAAATACGGTTTTTAAAAAATATATATTTTTATTGATTTCAGAGAGAAAGGGAGAGAGAGACATAAAAACATCAATGATGAGAGAGAATCATTGATAGCTCCCTCCTGCATTCCCCCTACTGGGGATTGAGCCCGAAACCTGGGCATGTGCCCTTGACCAGAATTGAACCCGGGACCCTTCAG